CCTTTCGGGTCCACATCCAATCCCTGTCCAAATCATGCTGCCTCAACCTCTGCAACATCTCCAGAATATGCCCCTTTTTAACAATGATACCACAAAGCTCCTAATTCACTCCCTGTTTATCTCTCGTCTCGACTACTGCAACTCCCTCCTCATTAGCTTACCTTTACATAGGCTATCCCCCCTCCAGTTCTTCATGAATACTGCTGCCAGGCTCATCCACCTTACCAACCATTCAGTGTCTGCTACACCTCTCTGCCAATCCCTCCACTGGCTTCCACTCGCCCAATGAATAAAATTCAAAATACTAACAACTTACAAAGCCATCCACAACTCTGCCCCAGCTACATCACCAACCTGGTCTCAAAATATCAACCAAACCGCTGTCTTCAATCCTCCCAAGACCTTCTGCTCTCTAGTTCCCATGTCACCTCCTCCCATGCTCACCTCCAGGACTTATCTCGAGCTTCTCCCATCTTATGGAACTCCCTACCCCAATCTGTCCGACTATCTCCTAATCTATGCAGCTTTAGACGATCCCTGAAAACCATTCTCTTTAAAGAAGCCTGTCCTGCTTCTAACTAGTAAACCGCCTTTTATTTCCTCCATCAGCTCACCCCCCACAGCTATTACCTTTTGTATCACTCAACCCTTTCTCATAGATTGTAAGCTCTAACAAGCAGGGCCCTCTGTTTCCTCTTGTACTAAATTGTATTGTAACTGTTACCAAAATTGTATTGTAATTGTTATATCTACCTTCATTTTGTAAAGCGCTTCACAAACTGTTGGCGCTATATAAATCCTGTATAATAACAATAATATCCAAGAATTTGCTGATGAAAAAAGTATCACTAGTACTAACCAGCATGGGTTTATGAAAAACCATTCTTGCCAGACCAACCTGTAAGCATTCTATGAGGAACTGAGCTGTAACCTGGATAAAGTAGGCTCTGTGGATGTGGTGTAACTAGATTTTGCCAAAGCATGTGACATTGTACCCCATCAACGCTGACTTTACAATTATGATCTATAGGCATTGACGATAGTGTATGTGCCCGGATAGAAAACTGGTTACAGGGGCACTCCCGAAGGATAGTGATAAATAGCCTATCTTCTGAATGGTCTGGAGTTGTGGTTGGGCTCTGTCCTGGGATCAGTTCTGTCTAACCTCTTCATAAAATATATAGAGGGTTTGGTAAAAATAGTTCAGTCTTTGTATTTGCTTACAATACAAAGTTAAGCAGGGTAATAAATGCACAACATGATATTGACATTTTACAAGGAGACCTCAACAAATTAGAGAGCTAATGAAGTTTAACCACATGCCACCCAGCCACTGTAGAAATACGGCGGCAGGGCGGCACGGCTGGGCAAAACCATGTTTTAAAACGCGTGCTTTCAAAACAGGTAGGGGGCGCGCGCCAGGCGCGCCACCGCTCTACCTGTCCCGCCGATCATGGGCGCGGATGTCAGTCGCCGGGTCACATGTCCCGGCGATTAGCGGCAATCAGTGACAGAGAGCACAGCTGCAGTAGCTGTGCTTTCTGTCAGTTCCCTGACAGCTCCTGACAGGCTGATCGGGAGAGAAGAGTTTCTCTCTCCGGATCAGCGGTGTTCCCTGCAGTACACACCCCCGCCCCCTAGTAAAACACTTCCCTCACACAGTTAACCTTTTCACTGAATAATAAAGTTAACCCCTTCCTCCCCAGTGCAATTAATACAGCGTCAATGGGTTTTTTTTTTTGCACTGATCACTGTATTGGTGTCACTGGGGATGTCAGTGACCCCAAGTCAGTTCCCCCCCAGTGTCAGAATGTCCGCCGCAGTCCCGCCATAAGTCGCTGATCGCCGCCATAAGTCATTGATCACCGCATAAGTCGCTGATCGCCGCCATTATTAGTATAAAAAAAATTTTTAAATGCCAGTATCTTTCCTGCCATTTGTAAATACTATAAATTTCACGTAAACCAATTAATTTACACGTATTGGGATTTTTTGTAGCAAAGACATGTCGCAGAATGCATTTTGGCAGAAATGTATGACTAAATTTGATTTTTTAATTTTTTTTACTGGACAAGTTTTATAGCAAAAAGTCCAAAATATTGTTTTTTTTTTCCTCAAAATTGTCAGCCTTTTTTTTTATAGCGCAAAAATTTAAAAAACGCACAGGCAATCAAATACCACCAAAAGAAAGCTCAATTTGTGGGGAAAAAAAGGATGTAAAATTTCATTTATGTACCATATTGCATGACCGTGCAATTGTCCGTTAAACTAGCACAGCGCTGTATAGCAAAAAAATGGCGTAAATTGCAGTATCTATACCATAGTTTGTAGACGCTATAACTTTCACACAAAGCAATCAATATACACTTATTGGGATTTTTTGTACCAAAAACATGTAGCAGAATACATTTTGGCCTAAATTTATAACTAACTTTGAGTTTACTATATATTTTTTATAGCTGAAAATAAAAAATATCATTTTTCTTCAAAATGTTTGGTCTTTTTTTGTTTATAGCGTAAAAATAAAAAGCGCACAGGTAATCAAATACCACCGAAAGAAAGCTCTATTTGTGTGAAAAAAGGACGTAAATTTCGTTTGGAAGCAGCATTGCATGACCACGCAATTAGCAGTTGAATTAGTGCAGCGCCGAGTAGCAAAAAGAGGCCTGGTCATTAAGGGGGGTAAATCCTCAGGAAGGCAAGTGGTTAATATAGATAAATGTAAAGTTTTCACTTGGGGGCTAATAATATAAATGCAAACTACACATTGGGAGAGAAGGATGGAAATGATCTGGGGGTCCTTGTTGATGACAGACTCAGCAATAGCATGCAATGCCAAGCTGCAGCAAGCAAGGACAGCAGTTTATTAGCATGCATTAAAAAGGGGATTTACTCAAAAGATAAATCTATAATTCTATCACTTTACAAAACTCTGGTACGGCCACATCTGGAGTATGCCATTCGGTTCTGGTCACCAGTCCTTAGGAATGGTGTGCTGGAACTAGAGAGAGTCTAGAAAAGGGCAGCAAAGCTAATAAAGGGGCTGGAGGACTTCAGTTAAGAGGAAAGGCTACACAAACATTAGCCTTATCTTCTCTGGAGAAGAGGGGATATGATCGCAATATAAAAATACTGTATATTCAAACATAGAGATATAGAACTGTAGCTGTTGATAGATGTGCAGAACAAAAAATGAGGTAGGAGTGCTGTATCCCAACACGTTTTACGATCTAAGCTTCCTCAGAGGGATCTAAAAGGTGCAGCTGACAAAAAAGACACTGTAAATAAAATAGTATAAAATACATGTTGATACATACACATCCAAGATACAGAAATGCCATTCCCTAGTACTCACATAGATGAACCATACAAAATGGTATAAAACCCCACTGTCAGGGCTCCAGGGTATGACCAGAGGTATGTGAACTGACGCAGGGAAACGCAGGCTTCAGATATGTTAGAAACAATATAATTTATTAACACTAACAATACATAAACGCAGTGCAATACTAAAACATAACACAGTGCAATTGAACCAAACCACCCACAGATAACAATACATACAATGCAAGCGTCGTCAGGCAGGCCGGGTCAATAACAATCGGGCAGGTAGGAACAGGAGGAGCAGGCAGAGAGTAGTCAGGTCACGAGCCGGGTACAGCAACTAACGGGCAGGTAGGTACAGGGTCAGGCAGAGAATGGTCGGGGTCACAAGCCAGGGATCAAACAGGAGAAGTCAGCAGAGGTCCGGATCAGGCAGGGTCAGCAATGAATCAGTCAGACAGGAACAGGAACAGGAACAGGAATGCAGGTAACAAGATACAGGGGCCCATAGAAAAGCACACACCAAGGCACAGACTGCAGGTCTGGCCATCCCGTAAATACACCTGCATAATCAGCTTCAGGTGTTTGGCTGACTACAGGGTTGAGTCTCTGATTGCTGAGAGCACCCGCTGACCAGCCCTAGTACTGCAGCCCACAAGGCAGGTGAGTCCCACCATTACTGGCAAGTCCATTCCTGACAGTACCCCCCCCTCAAGGAGCAGCCTCAGGATGCTCCAAACAGTCCTAGCTGGGCAAAATGTTCCACCGCCCGGGTCTGGTAACTGGCGGGATATCAAAGACTGGCACATCGGGCTGGACTCCGGGCAGCGGCACATCGGGCTGGACTCCCGGGCAGCGGCACATCGGGCTGGACTCCGGGCAGCGGCACATCGGGCTGGACTCGGGCAGAGGCACATCGGGCTGGACTCCGGGCAGAGGCACATCGGGCTGGACTCCGGGCAGAGGCACATCGGGCTGGACTCCGGGCAGAGGCACAGGGCTCCCAGGAGGGGCGGCGGGCACCGGGCCCCCAGGCAGAGCGATGGGCGCCGGGCCCCCAGGCGGGAGCGGCGGGCGCCGGGCCCCCAGGCGGAGCGACGGGCACCGGGCCCCCAGGCGGAGAGACAGGCACCGGGCCCCCAGGCGGGGCGACAGGCACCTGGTCATCAGGCACGACAGCGGGCATCGGGTCACCAGACATCAGGTCATTTGGCTCGCCCCGTGGGCACTGCGTCATCTGGCAAGGCAGTGGGCACCGAGTCACCAGGCACGACAGTGGGCTCCGAGTCACCAAGCACGACAGTGGGCTCCGAGTCAACTGGCATGACCGCGGGCACTGGGTCAGACATTGGATCGTCTGGCTGGACAGCGGGCATCGGGTCACCAGGCATCAGGTCATTTGGCTCGACAGCGGGCACCGCGTCATCTGGCAAGGCAGTGGGCACCGAGTCACCAGGCATGACAGTGGGCTCTGAGTCAATTGGCACGACAGCGGGCACTGGGTCATCAGGCATTGGATTGTATGGCTCGACAGCGGGCATCGGGTCACCAGATATGACGGGCATCGGGTCATCAGGTACCGGATCGTCTGGCTCGACAGCAGGCACCGGGTCATCTGGCGCTGGATTGTCTGGCTCTACAGCGGGCATCGGATCACCAGGCATGACCGCGGGCACTGGGTCATCAGGCATTGGATCGTCTGGCTCAACAGCGGGCATCGGGTCACCAGGCATGACAGCGGGCACTGGGTCATCAGGCATTGGATTGTATGGCTCGACAGCGGGCATCGGGTCACCAGATATGACAGTGGGCACTGGGTAACCAGGCATTGGATCGTCTGGCTCGACAGCGGGCATCGGGTCATCAGGTACCGGATCGTCTGGATCGACAGCGGGCACCGGGTCATCAGGCGTTGGATCATCTGGCTCGACAGCGGGCATCGGTTCACCAGGCATGACAGCAGGCACTGGTCATCAGGTACCGGATCGTCTGGATCGACAGCGAGCACCGGGTCATCTGGCGCTGGATCGTCTGGCTTGACAGTGGGCATCGGGTCACCAGGCATGACAGCGGGCACTGGGTCATCAGGCATTGGATTGTCTGGCTCGACCACGGGCATCGGGTCACCAGGCACCGGGTCATCAGGTACCGGATCGTCTGGCTCGACAGCGGGCATCGGGTCACCAGGTATGACAGCGGGCACCGGGTCATCAGGTACCGGATCGTCTGGCTCCACAGCGGGCATCGGGACACCAGGCATGACAGCGGGCACTGGGTCATCAGGCATTGGATCGTCCAGCTCGACAGCGGGCATCAGGTCACCAGGTATGACAGCGGGCACTGGGGTCATCAGGCTTGATAGAATCATTAGGCTGGATCAGTTCATCAGGCTGGGTACAGACATCAGGCTGGGTAGAGACATCAGGCTGGGTAGAGACATCAGGCTGAAGTGCGGGTGCCGAGGCACCAGGCTGAACCACGGAAGGCAGGTTCTCAGACGGCAGGCTCACCGGTTTGGATACTGGCAGGATGGTACTGGTTGGAAAGAATTTTCGCTTTTTTATGGTTTTAACTACTGGAGCACTGCAAGTAAATGCAGATCTGCAAATGAATGAAGCAGCTGAGGACAGAGAAGAGCTGGAAGATGGAACAGAGGAGGGAGCAGTTGCTACAGAGGACTTCTTTACAGGGTTAAAGAAAGGATAGGTGCAGCGAGTGGGAGCAGAGGACTGGTATGTGTGGTAGTTAGAGTATACTGGGAAGTCACTGGGGGTGCTGTCGGGGATGCAGGAAGAGTGCCTTGAGTGGAGGAATGATGTTGTAAGCTGACTGAGGCTGGGTGCAACAAGTCTGACCATGTCTGCAGTATGGGTTGAACAAAGCTCCGCTTACACAAAAGCCTGTCTGGTCAAAGACTGCACTGCTTTTATACAATCTCTTAGTACCTGTGTGTGAACATGCAGAATAACGCTCCAGAAAGTAATCCACATCATCCTCTAATAACCATACCAGGGACTCTACCTGGTCGGCACTAAATAGCGGCAAAAATTCATCCCTGCATTCGGGGGTACCAGATGAAACCAACTCAGCACAAACCTGAATCAATGGCTGCACCTCAGAGAACTCTGTGCCCTGATCTACTAGGCAATGAGCGATCCGTATACATTCTAGTAGTTGATCCCTGGGATACTCCTTCAGAGTCTGATAAGCATATTCTCTGTCATCAATCACTAGCAGAGATAAATACACCAACCTCATCAAGATCCATCCTTCCCAGCAACAAGCCAAGATGGCTTCCCTGTGCAGCCACTTCTGGTCAGGATTGGCCTTGGTGTAATGTCAGGGCTCCAGGGTATGACCAGAGGTATGTGAACTGACGCAGGGAAACGCAGGCTTCAGATATGTTAGAAACAATATAATTTATTAACACTAACAATACATAAACGCAGTGCAATACTAAAACATAACACAGTGCAAACGAACCAAACCACCCACAGATAACAATACATACAATTCAAGCGTCGTCAGGCAGGCCGGGTCAATAACAATCGGGCAGGTAGGAACAGGAGGAGCAGGCAGAGAGTAGTCAGGTCACGAGCCGGGTACAGCAACTAACGGGCAGGTAGGTACAGGGGGTCAGGCAGAGAATGGTCGGGGTCACAAGCCAGAGATCAAACAGGAGAAGTCAGCAGAGGTCCGGATCAGGCAGGGTCAGGAACAGGACCAGGGATGCAGGTAACAAGATACAGGGGCCCATAGAAAAGCACACACCAAGGCACAGACTGCAGGTCTGGCCATCCCTTAAATACACCTGCATAATCAGCTTCAGGTGTTTGGCTGACTACAAGGTTGAGTGTCTGATTGCTGAGAGCACCCGCTGGTCAGCCCTGGTACTGCAGCCCACAAGGCAGCTGAGTCCCACCATTACTGGTGAATTCATTCCTGAGAAGGAGGGTGTGTTGTACTTGTCTGCTGAGCTCCAGAAAGGCCCGAGAAGCCTGGGGCTAAAGTGCCCTGCCCAGCCCAGGCAGGATGGTGGATCCTGGGCCTGGGTCCAGCGAGGAGAAGGCCCTGGAGGGGCCTAGTACCAGCCTCTCTTTTCCACCAGTAGAGGACCTGGGAACGGCCCCTAGGAAGGGGGAAGTTTTTTCTGCCTATCGGGACCGTGTGGCCGCTCGGGCCAGGTTAATAGAGAAGGAGGAAGCCAAGCTCCAGAAGCTGACTCTGGAGCTAAGGAAGCTCCGGTCATCCTACGACCGTGTATGGTCTACAAAGCGGCAGGCCATGAAACCGGACCTGGAGGCGCTGGAACTTCGTGTGTCACAGCAGGGGAGGTATGTGGTGGTGCTGCAGTGCAAGGAGCGGCGTCCTAAGTAAGAAGTATCTGAATGAAGCGAGATTTAAGGCTGCAAGAAGCCGCAGTGTGTTGCAGCGATGTGGGGGTCCGGTGGAGGAGCCTCCTCGGTGGAGGAATTGTCGGGGGAGTTGCTAGGTGGAAGGCGAGCAGGGGTCAGGCTGAGCCCGCAGCCACCCTCAGAGGAAATGGCGCCTAAAATGGAAGACAGCGTGGTCGCAGGATCATCAGAGTTCCCTCCCCCCTGGGCAGCTGCCTGTGGATTGGGGGACCCAGGTGGAGGAGGCGGAGATGGTGGGGCGGATTGCAGTTCCTGGCAGAGGCAGTTGCAGAGCTGCGTGAGCCGACTTCAGGTTTACGTCCGAGGACTCAGAGACAGAAGCTGAAAGTGATGTCATCCCCCGCAAGCCGGCTAAGCTCGGTGGTGCAAAGAGCTATGCTGCCTTGTCATGCTGCAACGCATTCCCCAAGGACGTGTTGGCAAAGGCAGGGGAGCACTGGAAGGGGAGAAGGAAAGGACTCTGCTGAGTGGTGTTTGTGAATGGTTCTGGACACTGGGGTACAGGTATAATGCCTGCCAAATTGTCTGAGTGCAGGTTAGCCCTACAGTCCTGGCTAAGGGTTGTTTCCCCTCCGTGGTGGTCCCACTAGGCCCCGCCCCCTTTGGGGGGCATGGTGGCCTCTGGTGTGCAGCCAGCAAAGGGCCCCCGGTTTCTTCCCCCAGGGGGGGTCCTGGTTTTCAGGTCCAGGGGTCCTGTGGGGCAGGCTCAGGTGGGTTCCCCCTGCTGGAATGGGTGGCCCCCGCCCTGGGCTCCCCCAGGTCCCTGGCTCATCAGGTTGCCCCTTCCCCGTTTTGCTGCTGCTGGTGTGGGGGGGCTTTTTCCCCCGGGTTCCCCGCCCCCCTTGGGGGTTTTAGGTGCCCCTGGGCTAGATCGGGGGTCAAATTACTCTGCTGCATTAAAGGGGGGGTCAGGGGTCGGGGGGATCGGCCCGGGCAAGGGGGGGTAACCCACCCAAATTCCACCGGGAAGGCAAAATGTTGTTTAGGGGAAAATGGTCGGGGAGGGGCCCCCCCCCCCCCTTAGCAAAGAGGGTCATTGACCGCATATTAAAAAAGGGCTTCCCCTTTCCAAGGGGGAATTTTTGCGTTTTTTGCCCGTTGGTACTGGAGAATTGATGTTGTCCTTCCTGCGGCCCCGGAAATTTTTGGACCCTTTTGGCGAGGTTTGAGGCCACCTTTGGGCACCAGCCCTAGGTGGGTGAGGCCCTAAAACCCCAGGGCCCTCTCCGCCGCCCGATTTTTAAAAATTTTTTTTGGGCTGGTGGAAAAAATCATTCCCCGCATCGAAGGGGTCTGGCAAGCATTTAATGGGGTGTGATGGGGCCCCTTGGGAAGATCAAGGATGAGGGGGGGAATATGGACAGGGGGGGTGGACGGGGGGGCCCACTGTCCGCTTAAAGATGGTTAGAAATGTGCTCCACACATTCCCCTCTTCCCTTTTCTAGGGGAAGGACCCCCCTGATAATTTTTTATGCGGGTCACCAAGGGGGGCTGCCACCGGGGTGGGGGGGCAGGGGCATTTTGCAGCCCCCTGCCCGTATTAGATGTTCCCTGGTCAGGAAAATAGGACACCTGGCCGGGACTGCATGTCATCAATGCAAAATTTCGGGGGAGCCGGGGCTTCAACAACCAGTGCCTGGAGGGCCCTCCACAACCTTTTGGTGGGGGGCTGAAACCCGAGTTGGATCGGATAGATGAGAAGAGGCGGAGGGTTTGGGATTGGAGAAAAGCAGCTTCGGTTGTGGCGGGCCCTTTGAGGGGGGGAAAGGGGGTTTCTTGGCCCCCCCTGTCTCTGTCCCCCCTGTTTTTTTTACCCCTTTGAAATCCCCTGTTTTTTCCCCCTTGTGTGCGGTTCCCCCTCCCAGGAGTAAGAAAAAAAAATGAGGGAGGCTGCTAAAGGGGCCGGGAGGGGTTTAGGCTAGGTCTGTCCCTCAGTGTTTTGCTCCCCCCCCTGCTCTTGCCCCTGCGGTGGAGTGGGAAAACCCCGGGGG